AATTACCTTTAAACAAAAATTGAGAAATATACGAACCGATACAATACTAATAACCCATCAGAAGGATAGACGCATGCTTGAGACTTGAAAATGAGAGAAAACCTAGATACACTAATAACGCGCACACTTAAGGCTCTAATTAAAGAAACCTCTCTCATTCAGATAAACGTTTGAGCTCTGAAGAGACAGATCACCAACCCTCATAAAGAGAGGACATCAGAAACGCGACATAAAAGAATTCTAGCCGAACAAAGATGTCTACACAATTGGGAAGCATCCAAATGACCTTAAGCTGATCATGAAAAACTAGCACCAAATACCAAAATAATAGAGGGTATGGTGGGGAAACCACCGGCCTTATTACAAATACAGAAACTTTGACACAAAAACTAGAGAAACCTAAAAAGATCAAACCAACAAGAATGACTCCCTCAACGCTGGAAATCTGAGAAGAACGGTTGAAACGACGCCTGAAAAAATCTCTCAAAACAACATAGAAACCACTTAAAACTCGACGGCACATGGGGGAACACGCGCCTAGCCAACCGTCCCTAAACAATTCCATTCCGGTGGCTCCCCACACTTTCGTCGGCACAAATCCATCTCCATGTCAAATTGATGTACTAGCTGCCCCCTCATCATGACTCGTTGTAGAGTATTCTTAACTCAAACCAAAATCAACTTTTTAGAATACAATCCCGATGTTACATTCTTACTGCCTTACTATTTTTTCATGTTGGTTTTTTAAACATTACATAATTTATCTTCTGTTCTCTTTATTATTTGTTTAATCTATAAGAATAATCCTTCTGCCACAAGTGACATTTTCTATGGAACAAATTCAGATTAAATAATTCCTTAAAAATTGATGCATGGCAACAGTCACTTTCATTTTATATGGAATTTATTGTTGTTTGGTTTGAGAGTTTAAATTAGATGATTTGAACCAAAATTTAAATTTTGTGAGAGAAAATAGAACTTCTTAAATTTAATTTTTTTTGTTAGAGAAAACACTATTTAAACCAAAACCATAGTAGTTTAAACCCTCAAACCAAACATCACTTAACATTTGGGAACCCTTCTTCTCGTGTTGCACCGGGTAAGAGAAACTAGTTAATTTCTAATAATCAAACGCGATAAAAGCTCGTTTAACAAATCCATTACAGTAGATAGATAAAATAAGTCAATTGCGACTAAAAGACCCAAAACATTAAGGATACTCACAAGACTGTGTAGGATCAAACTTGGAGCTTCTTCTAATCCGGTAAGGACAACTTTTAGAATAAAAAAATATTTAAATTTAATTTTAAGAAAAGAATAGAAAAGGTCAAAATATAAGAAAAATAAAAAAGGCACGTGAAAAATGATAAAGCTATGAAATATTAAAATAAAAAAAGACAACACAACACGAAAAGGTTACTTGCCAGTAGTGCAAAACAAATCAATTGCGCTTTAAATAAAAAAAATGTTTAAATGTTTAAATATGATTTTAGAAAAAGAAAAGCAAAAATAAAAAAATTGTGCAAAAAGACAAAACAATTAAACAATAGAAAAGAAAAAGACAACACAACTACACCACGAAACGAATGAGTAATGCGGAATAAAGCAACTGCACTTTTTTATAAACAAAAAACAAATTTTAGAATAAAAAATAAAACATAGTATTTAACTACTTTTTTTAGTAAAAATTTTATTTTTCGCTATTAAATTTTGGTAACAGATAATTATATTTTACTTTTAATATTTGGTAGTAAATGTTATTTATTTTACTATCAAAAAAAATTCGGTAGTAAATACTTTGGGTGGGAAAAAATTTTACTTCCCACCAACATTTTGTTACCAAAACATGTTTGGTAGCAAAAAAAGTAATATTTTACTACTAAATTTTGGTGGTAGAAACGTTCAATAACATGAAATACAACAAATCAGTCAATATACATATAAATAGACTATGTGTTCACTTAATTATTATAAAAATATATATATTTTGAGAATTAATATACATTATCGTTTATTACAACTTAATATATACATTTATATATATAAATATATAAAATTTATACTAAATTATATAATTATTATTTTAATCTGGCAAACAGCAACTGCCGGTTCAAAGACTTTGCCTACTTTTTTAGTCAACTTTAAATACTTAAAATTTTATTTTTTATTCTAAAATTTGTTTTTTGTTTATAAAAAAGTGCAGTTGCTTTATTCCGCATTACTCATTCGTTTCGTGGTGTAGTTGTGTTGTCGTTTTCTTTTCTATTGTTTAATTGTTTTGTCGTTTTGCACAATTTTTTTATTTTTGCTTTTCTTTTTCTAAAATCATATTTAAACTTTAAACATTTTTTTTTATTTAAAGCGCAATTGGTTTGTTTTGCACTACTGGCAAGTAACCTTTTCGTGTTGTGTTGTCTTTTTTTTTTATTATTTTAATATTTCGTAGCTTTATCATTTTTCCCGTGCCTTTTTTTATTTTTCTTATATTTTGACCTTTTCTATTCATTTCTTAATATTAAATTTAAATATTTTTTTATTCTAAAAGTTGTCCTTACCGGATTAGAAGAAGCTTCAAGTTTGATCTTACACAGTATTGTGAGTAACTCTAATGTTTTGAGTCTTTTTGTTGCAGTTGACTGATTTTATCTATCGACTGTAATGGATTTATTAAACGAGTTTTTATCATGTTCGATTATTAGAAATTAACTAGTTTCTCTTGACCGGTGCAACACGAGAAGAAGGGTTCCCAAACGTTAAGTGATGTTTGGTTTGAGGGCTTAAACTACTATGGTTTTGGTTTAAATAATGTTTTCTCTAACAAAAAAAAATTAAATTTAAAAAGTTCTATTTTCTCTCACAAAATTTAAATTTTGGTTCCAATCATCTAATTTAAACTCTCAAACCAAACTACAATAAATTCCATAGAAAATGAAAGTGACTATTGCCACACATCAATTTTTAAGGGAGTATTTAATCTGAATTTGTTCCATAGAAAATGTCACTTGTGGCAGAAGGATTATTCTTATAGATTAAACAAATAATAAAGAGAACAAAAGATAAATTATGTAATGTTTAAAAAACCAACATGAAAAAATAGTTAGGCAGTCAGATGTAACATCGTGATTGTGTTCTAAAAAGTTGATTTTGGTTTGAGTTAAGAATACTCTACAACGAGTCATGATGAGGGAGCAGCTAGTACATTAATTTGACATGGAGATGGATTTGTGCCGACGAAAGTGTAGGGAGCCACTGGAATGGAATTGTTTAAGGGAA